TAGTACAGCAATAAAGCTAAAGCTATAGCTTTATGAAGGCTATGCAATATAGCTCTATTGTATAACAAACGTAGCAAAGCGAGGTTTGTACTCCTGATCGGAGGATAGTGATAGATAAGTAGAGTCATTAGGAATTGCTGCGCCAGCTACTAAATATTTAGCTAAGTAACATTAAATTGAACGTAGTATTATAAAGTTACTTATGCATATATATCAACTAAAGTGACTCTTTATATAGGGATATTCTACCCTATATAATTAATATATTAAACCCCTCCGCAGGCTAGACTTTTTACAGCTTGCTATCCAAAGTCCCCCAAACCCCCTAATTCTTATGGCTCCCGAGTCGACTTATGGCTCCCGACTCGACTTACTGCTTAAGTATGTATTACTAAAGGCTTATAGAGGCGCTCACTCTGACATACTGCTTAAGTATGTATTACTAAGTACTGCTTAAGTAATTACTAAAGGCTATGCGAGCCACTCACTCCGACATACTGCTTAAGTATGTATTACTGAGTACTTCTATTGTGGTTTGCTCTCCTCTCTCTTTAAAACTCTATTAGGTATTCCGTGCATATTTTCTATAAATTGTGTGCTAACAATAAAGCTAGCTGTACGGTTAGTCAGACTTGAACTGACACAAATCGAGTGGAAATCGACAAGTCTACCATTAACCTATAACCGCTTTTAATATATCTGAGGAGTGATTTGAACACCCACGAGTATAACTCAGAAAAGCTTAAGTTTTCACTGTCTACCGATTCCAGCACTCAGATTTAGGGCTAAAGTGACTTGAACACTTATAATTACTGTTATGAGCAGTACACTTTACCTATTAAGTTATAACCCTACGCGGACAAAGGAATTGCACCTCCAACTTCTGGGCATGAGCCAAATGTGTTTCTATTACACCAATCCGCTTTAGACTAGATAGGATTCGAACCTACGATGGTAGCATTGAAAGAGCTATGTCTTACCACTTGACTACTAATCCTTAAAAAATAATTAGCCCAATGCAAGTATCGCACTTACTTCTATTGATTACAAAACAATTGCATTACTTTTATGCTAATCAGGCGAATTAATTTGGGATATATGTATAAATAGTTATTTATAAAATTAGTACTTTATTCTTTAAAATCTCCGGATTCGTACGGATAAAGCCTATATTATTTCTTCGTAATAATATTTTACGTATATTTAAGAAATATCTTAAGATAAGCTTCGTGCCTATATGCTTTCAGCACTTATCCTTAACCAACTTAGCTTTCCTGCCGTGCCTATGCTATATATTTATCTTAGTGAAAGAAACATCCCTATGTATAAAAATACAGATATATATAATTCCCTCATCTTTTTAGTTTGTTGAAAACCATATATATTTAATATTTGGGCACATAGACAACAGGTAAACCATAGGTTAGTAACTATTATTTAACCCTTTTACAAATTAAATTCTTCTTGTTCCTTTCGTACAAAAGTTAGTTCTTATTATATTCTAATTCCCCCTAGAAGATAGAAACCATACTGTCTCACGACGTATTTAACCCAGCTCATGTAACTTTTTAATCGACGAACAGTCGCACCCTACATAGTTCCTGCATCCATGAGGATAAGTTAAGCCGACATCGAGGTGCCAAACCGCGCACTCATTTTGTACACTCTTGCGCAAATTAGCCTGTTCTATGTGTTATCATAAAAAACGCTCTAGACTGCATTGATCCTGTGCTGGCTATCACCACTGCTATTTCATAAAGCTATCTATGTATTTACTACTGCTATTTCATAAAGCTATGTAGCATACATGCCAGCAAGGATGCATAGCGCTCATATTTCCATTTTTTTCAAAACGGTTCAGACTATGTCTTCATTATTATTATATATATATTTTAGTAGTCACTTTTCAATATTTATTTACCGCCTATTCAACCTTTTACTGCAAAGGCTCCAATACGACGTTTTGATTTAGCTATTGAATAAGTTACATTTGATTTAGAATTACCTCTAAATAAAACTGAACTTAAACCTCTAAAAGAAGAATCTATATTTTTTAATCCTCCTTTTCATTTTAATGAATAGATAGATCTATCCGCTCTATAACGTTTAGTTAATCTACCTTTAACTTCTAATCTTATACCTCCCATATTTTTATATCCAATAGACTTATAAATTATATCGTGAATAATAGCTTGCGCTCCGCCAGCTACAAAATTATCAGATTTACTAGCTTTGGGTGCTGTGCTAGCTAAAGCTACACCACTGGTGTCGCTTAGCTTGCGTAGCAAGCTATGCTCATCAACAGCTTTAGTTACTGGTGGCGCTGCGCAAGCTAAGCTCGCATTATTTATTTTTATATTTGAAGGATATGCACCATCTAACAATTTAGATAGATTATTATTCATATGTGCTTCGCTGCTTAGCTTGCTAAGCAATCTAAAGCTAGAGATTATTTTTAAATCTTTAAATTTACCCTGAAAATTATCCATTTTTTGATCACCTTTTATTCTAGATCTTTCTTTAATATTATTAATATTAGGTAAATATGCTCTATTTAATATACTAAACATAGAGTTTATATAATTTATTCTTCTTTTCTTTAATTTTAATGCTAAAGCATTAGTAAAAAGATCTGTATGATATGCAACAGATTTTAAATTAATTATATTATATTCTAATTTTTTTCCTATAATTTTATTCAATATATTGCTTAATATAGGTAAAAATACCAATTTATTAAATTTATATTGATTAAGTGAATACAATAAATCATATTTTCTTAAGAATTTAAGATATTTTATTGCATATTTATTAAGAATAATACCTCAAACTTTTTTTAAATAAAGATCTTTTAATTTTATAAATTTATTCAAGTATTGTAATTTATATTTTATAAATTTTTTTTTTCTTATTATATCATTAATAAAAATATATTGATCTTTATATTTCCCTAAGATTTTATAAATTTTATGAATATTTTCTTTATACAATAAAAAATAACGTTTGGCTATTAATTCTTTACTTATTTTTTTATTTATTTTTAAATATTTTTTTTTTAATACATTTTTTTCTCTATTTATAGTATATAAAGTAATTATTGCTTTATTATTAGTATGTTTAATTTCTGCATTACTTATATGTATTCTTCTTAATAAATTACGTCTTCTTTTAAGTAATATAAATTTAGACCCTGTATATTTGTGATCTTTAAAATATAAATTAAAATAACCTTTTATTATTTTGTTTATATTTAAATCATTAACCGGTATATTCTTTAACGTATTCTTATTATAAGAATATATAGTATTATTTCATTCTTTAGAATATGATGGTAAATATTTTGTTATTCCTACATCATTTAATTTTTTCTTTAAAAGTATTGTTTTAGAACTTCGTTTTAAATTATTATTATAAATTTTCATCTTCATATTATATTCTTTCTTTAGCAAGCTATCATTGTTTTTTTTTATTTTTCTTAAATATATATATAATATAAATGTTGGGTGTAAAAAAGGATTATTGTTTATTGCATATAACTCACCTTATAGTCGTTGAACGTCTTTATCTTATAATTTATGCTAAGATAAATTTCGCTTCAAATTTACTTATTAAGTAATTTTTGAAATTAACCCAATATATTATTAATTATCCTATGTAAAATAAAATATTAAAGGACAAACATCCCTAGCGTAGCTTTTCCAATAATCCAAGATCTTTCCTTGTTGCATCTTGTGATCCTATGCCCTGCTTACGCAACTGTAAGATTTGTAGATAATCAAACAGTAAGGCAAGATTTAGCCGTTGAGCTTTTTAGATAATTAAAACATAACTATTATTAATAATAGTTAAAAAACATTAGATTTATGTTCTTTAGCTTACTAATGAAATAACAAGCTAAAGAATTATTCTTAATATTTTTATTATCTCTAATTTCTATATAGTGAAAATCCTACCTTTTTTTAAATATATATACAACGAATGTACATATAAATAATTTTATATGATTAAAAATAGTTAAACTACCTTAAATTGCAAACAAAATAATTATAAATTATTAGACACTCCTGTTTACTCTTTACAGGGTCTGTGCCCCACATAAACTGTCCCCTAGCGATAGTTCCTTACCAAAGGGTACTTATCTATTTCACTAGTAAATTAGTGAAATAATAATAAGCTGAATTAGGTTGATTTACTAAAATGAGTTGTTAGT